GATGGATATATATATATATATATATAATATATATATATATATATATAGCTATAATTAATATGATATATTAATATAGATATAGATATAGAGATACGGGATATATATATATATTATATATCTATGAGTATATATATAGAAGATTCGATAGACATATATAATATATATAAGACAGATATATTCACGCAGATATAAATATATATAATGTATATATAGAGAGATATGTAGATAGATAATCTGATAGAGAGATAGATTAGATATTAGAGATAGAGTATGTAGTCGATAGATAGATACGAGGTATGAGAGATCGAGGTAGAGATAGAGCCTGATATATATAGAGAGAGTAGCGATCAGAGATATCGAGATATGATAAGATGAGTAGAGATAGTAGAGAGAGAGTAGTATATGAGAAGATATAGAGAGATATTAGAGAGAACATAGGTAAGAGATAAGAACCGAGAGATACGAGAGAGAATAGAGAGCGAGTGTAGAGAGAGAGAATAGAATACAATAAATATATAGATAGAGATAGGAACATGAGAGGACAGAGATAGAGCAGTATATAGAGATATATGAGATATGAGAGAGAGAGAGAGAGGAGAGAGTAAGAGTATATACAGAGAGAGAGAGACATAGTAAGAAGAGAAGTAGAGACATAGTATAGATATACATCGAGAGACAGATATATAAATAGAATTATATACATATATATACAGAGATATAGAAAGAGATAGATATGATATATATAAGAAGATACATATGAGATGATATATATGATAGTAATAATATACAGAGATATATATGTATTATATGAAGAGAGTGAGAGAGATATATATAGAGATATATATCTATATACAGATACTACAGAGTAGATACATATAGATATCTATATAGACATGCTTATGATATATTATAGATATAATAGAGCATATATATATAGATAATATATAGAGTATAGATATATAGATATAATTGGATATGTATATATATATATATATTGTAGGTAAATATATATATATAGAGATATATATATATATATATATAATATTATATATATAATAGATTATATAATTGTATGTAATAGATATAAATATATATATATAATATATATATATATTATATATATATATATATATATTAATATAAATATAGTATATATATATATGTATATATATATATCAGTATATATATATATTATATATAATATATAATATAATATACATATATATATATATGTGGGATATTATATATATATATATAATATATTTACTATAATATATAATATATATATATATATATAATATTAATGTGGGTATATATATAGATAATATATATATAATAAATATATAGAATATATATCTATATATCTATAGATATAGATATAATATATATATAGTATATAATATGTAATTGTGTATATAGATATGATATGTTATAATAAATATAGTAATATATATGATATATATATGTATATATATATATAAATATATATAATAAGATAATGTAGTATATATAATATATAGATAGATATATAGTAGTATATATAGCATATATATATAGAAGATATATAAGGATAGTAGATATATATAGTATATATATATATATATATAGGTATCATAATAGATAATAGATATAATAGATATATAAGAGAATATAGAAGATATATATATATGTATAAATATATATATATATATATATATAGATATATATAGATATAATATATTATATATATATATGTGTAAACTATTAGATATATATATGATATATAATCTAT